CTTTTCATTGGCCGAGAGCCAACCACATAACCTGAAAATAACTGTCCACAAATAGCAATAAAAATAAATTAATATTTTAAGGGGAGGCCTCGAATCACCTAGAGGTGAAAATAATTATGCTCATGCGTAGTACCGTGTAAATGTGTTTGGCCGCGAAAAATATTCTGCTCATGGGTAATTAAGAAAACTAATTTGTTGATCTAATGATAAGATAATTATTGAACTCGGTTATCACAAAATATCGTGATTTGTCAGTGTCTCGCAGATAAATTATTTGCCAAAGCCTAAGGTTGAGGCAAATAATTGATCTGCTCGCCACAATCTCGTTCCCAGAGTCTTCGTTCCCCTTGACCAGCGGTCGGAAAACGAGAGCTCTGGGAGCAACCATTTCAGGCATGCGCCGTAGATGCAGACTGCGCAGTGAAACCGGATGGGCAGAATCACCAGAATTCGGTTATTTCAAAATGGTTGCTCCCTGAGCTCTCGTTTTCCGACCGCTGGTCAAGGGGAACGAAGACTCTGGGAACGAGATTGGCTCGCCGCTGTCAAATCATTATGAAGGGAGCGTTTTTCACAAGCAAAGCTACATGTAAACAAGAATCTTTCCTACGAATATATAAAAAGATAGAAATTCACAGCAGTGCAGCACACTACATTAGCAGCGCTGTCACAGTAAGCTTTGCAAAGAACAAACACTTATTTCACATACTTCTATAACAAAAAACACCAAACACTCACATACGTTGGAATCAACATCTTTGAAGGGGGCGAGTAACAAAATATAATAAAACATAAGCTTAGATAAGAGTATCTCAAAAGGCAACACATCCTTTTGTAAATATAATTTGAAAGCACTCATCAGGTAGTCCTTCTTTTTCAGAAGCAAAAATTCGAGAAAAGAATTGTAGCGCATGAACTTAGCTCTCTACCAGTTCTGAGACAACTTTTCCCAGTAGTGGTATGAATATGCTGGGCCGCTTCTTGTCAGTAGGGGTCTGCGGGATTCATACTTGGCCATACAGCAGTCAAGGAAGGCGATTTTCGGTCATCGTGCAAGCATATAAACTGAACTAGAGCTCTCTGTTCGCCTCTGGTCCAAGGCTTTCGCTGAACTTTTGGGGAAATCGAGGTGAACAGGTCGGGCGACCTAACACCTTTTTTGCGCGTCACGAATCTACATCCAACCTGAATGTAAGAACAGATGACGTGCGTCAGGAATATTCGCTCCTACGTTCGAATTTGTCAGCAAATAAAGACAAGGCAGGAGATGATTAATTAAGCTTAAAACTGGGTGACATACTAGTTAAATTCTTCAAGCTTGAACATCAGCTTACCTTCATTCCCTTTGGCGAGGACGATGCGAACAAGCGCTTTTCTTCGCGACTTGTTGACGACAGGGGCGATCTCAAAGATGAGCTTCTGCCATCTTCGTTTAAGCAAATACCTTTCTTGAGGAATTTCTCAGCCTTCTAGGGAGTAGTTCCAGTAGGTAATAGCTTTCTTTTTTCGTTACTCTCCATAACCTGTAAGCTCATGACAACATGGAGTCTTTACGTAGCGACATAAATGGTCTGGAACCACTTGTCCTCGCAGTAAAGTCGAAAAAATACTCAACCAGCTCAAAAGACGATGCTTACAAGACCTTAGAAAGAACAATTTTCGCGCCCATTTTAACGTGAAATCACAACGGCTTTATCTTTTTAAATACTGGAGACCTAAGGAGACCTAAGGGTTTGAACATCGGTCGATGACTGAACTTTGCATACTGGTCACTTTCATCCGAAGGTCTTCAGAGAATTTCGAGTAATGTGCGAAATTCGAAGACGACCACTCAACTTAGCTTCACAACAACAGACCTAACCATTCGTGTAATATATGCACATGCAACGATTGTGGCTTTGTCTCGCGAACAATCTTCCTCTCGATTCAGCAAAAACAGCCAACAAAGATGCTAGTTTCCCGAAATTAAATAATGTGTGTCAAAAAGGAGTTCTTTGAGCAGATATTCTTACCTCAGAAAAGGAAAAAAACGGCGGGAGAGTCGATAAGCGGACGCCATGTTGCTGATAAACAACGCGTTAACGACAACTAACTTTTGCAAGTGCGAAGAAACCTTCAAAGGGGAAAAGCTTTCGAATTCATTTGATAAGGATCGAGCTGATGTGTTAGCTGCTAGCAACCGAGGTTCCTACTTTGAGCAGGAGAAGTTGACTGCTCTAATCATAAGTTCCTTGGCGCTTTCGCCGTTCGAAATGGTAACTTCTTGATCTGCACGCGTATTTCCCCGTGGGTTTACTTTCCCTTGTTTACGCGAACGCTTTTTACCTGTGTCTGGCATCTCTCAACCTGTTTCGTTAGATGGAATGTGAATCCAAATTAGCTGGGGCATTTAAAAAATGGAAAACGAAAAATTGAACGAAACTTATTTCCTTACTAACCTTGTTGCGCGAGCGGCGGAATTCGGATCTTGCAAAGGATATTTCCCGCCAGGAGCAACATTTAAGCCCGCTTTGTAATTGATATGAGCTCTATTCGGTTAAAGTAAACTAAGCCTTCACTTGGTCGATCAACGGGGCATTAATTTTCCGGCACACGTTTTGTGTAATTGACTCATTACACCGGAAGAACGCCCCAAAGTATATTTTCCTTCATATCTCGAAACGAAAATTTCAGCTAGTGAAGCGCACATTTTGAGTT